AGGGCGTTTATAATAAAAAATGTTCATACATTCTCAAACAAATGTGTTTGCCTTCAAAATATTCTTTAAATTGTTTGATGTATTGGATTGAAAGCCAACATTTTACATCAATGTGACTGCTCTTTACCTGAAAGGCACCGCGGTTTGTGCGTAATTACGCGCAAAGCAATGGTCACCGATAAACCTCGGCGGTTTCTGTCTCAACCAAAGGAAAAGCATGTGTGCACAAGTTTAAACCAGCACAACGTCTTTAACTCATTAACAACTGCACAGAGACGTTTCATTTGCCTGCATGCAGGATCGTCTGACTCACCTTCAGGAAGCAGCATGGCCAGACAGATTATTGGAATCATCTTGAGCATTTCTGAACACCCCAAAAAGGATAAATAAAAGGTAACAGCGACCAGAAATCTAACGGTCCTTTAGTTTCTTCCCCTAACAGGTCTACATGATGCCCGTTCAACCCCAGTTGAACTCAGTTGCAGATAGCAGGACACCGTTTCATCTGGACGTCCTCACGGTCAAGCCAGCTCTTAACGCTTGGCAGGGGAGGCAGCATGTCTGCTGACTGAGACAGGGAATAAAACTCCGGCTATCACATAGCCACAGCAGCAGACTGAGAGAAACAGGATGCCCACGAATCATCGCCTCACCACACACTGGGCTATTCACCTGTCAATCAAACGCCTGCTGCCCACCTGGCTGCACGCTTCCTCCGACGACATATGGAGGACACACGACGGGAAAATCACCATACAGACCATCAGTCAGGTGGCGCTGGATTCATGTTATGGCAGTTCTTTAGATGTGGAAAGAAATTATTAGTATTAACTCTACTCATGGTGGCAATTGTAAAGTGACGGCAAAGCTTTCTGCAAGTTGTCTTCTCTACATTAAAAGTTGAAAATAATTAAATAAATTAAAATGTTTTTTGTTTACAGTTAAATCTGAATGCCAGTCATATTTTCTGCTGAAGGTACTGATGCACCGCAGGAAGTACAGGTCAGTCAGGGCCAGTCAGAAATAAACATGAGGTAAACACCAGATATAAATGAACACATAAACTTTTATCAAAAGAAATAACATTAATGTTTAATTTATTTTTTAATTTTAATTAATTATACGCCTATATTTACCTTAGTAATTTTACACTGTTGATCAGAGAAAATCAGCTAGGCCTATTTAAAACATTTTGAATCAAGTTACTTGTGTTTGGAATGAGTCACAGTGACCTTGGCTAAATAATACAAATCTCCAAATAAAAACAATATTTTATTGCCCTGTGAGTTTGTAGATTGTCTAGGCCTTCCAGTGGGAGTTGTAAACATAACTCATTAATAAAAGGTCATAGATCTCTCACTTAAAGACATTATGCCTGCAATTCCAGATGTATCCTCTATTATTTAAATGGGGCAGGTTTAAATGCTATGGGGTCTTTTTGCAGACAGATGGGAGTCAAACAGTCCATCGCAGGAGGGTTTATGGATTAATTAAAGTACTAGCTAAACATAAAAAAAAAATACATTCTGCCCTACAGCAGTACTATAAAAATGTTCATCTAAACAGACAAAACACACAAAAGTAAATTCAATTTAGGAGCAGTATTTCCATAATAAAAGTTGTTTTTTTCCTAAAAGGCCATAACCTCACCGTTACATCACAGATGATATAATTCCCAACAGCAATACTGTGTGAGTCATCTCTATTTTCCAATGTGTCCAAAAATCAAAATGAATCTATTCTGGCATGACTGGAAACGTGTATCCAAGGAGATATTCTGTGGAGGAGTCAGTACTATGGAACCTTTAAAACTTTAATAATCAAGCAACTTAATTTGTTTTGAACGCATATTAACAGCGCAGAGAAGTCATTATCTCAGTGGCATTAGATGAGCCAGGAAGTGTGCTCTTTTTCCCCCCATGTATTCAGCCCTATGTCGAACAGTCCTGCGCGCTGGGATGCTTGGAGGAGTTCCAGATGGTAGATATACTAGAGAGATATGCCAGCATCCAGTGGAAGGATACAAAATGAGCTTTTGTCACTCGGGATGCCTTGGAAACCTGAGGCTGGTTTAGCGTGCAGCAGGTGCACTGCTGTTAAGTTAAATGCACTCTGATATTGTCACTGACATCCCTTGATGGATCTACAGCACACACTGCTGTTGATGAGGACACATAAACACATCAGTGGCGGCTTTTCTCCTGTTTTGGTGCGAGTATGCGGTGTTCAGATTACTGCCAGGGTTTCTTGGAGAGGTTCGACATGGCACAACATGCTACCAAGCAGGCCATCTGTTGTTGTGCTCATTCTCAGTGTGCCCACTATCTAAAGGTGATCTGAACATTTTAAGTGCCTGTATCACTTCCTCGCTGAGGTTCTAAGTGCACAAAAAAAGAGCGCTTGCACAACCTTATGCAACTGCAGTGCAATGCTACTGTACAAGTCCAAAGTACTACTGTACAGAAGGGCAAACTCCCAGTATATACATAATCCAATCTTCAGTTCTTCTGCATGCACATTCTTCATCTAAATTGGCTTGCCAGCTCCGTTTGGACTGGCAACGTAATTCCCTGTAGGTTTAATTTCTGTTGGTCCTGTAAATCTAGTGTCTCACCCTAGTTTTTATTCAAATGAAGGCACAGTCAAAGAGGCTTATAAACACAAGTCTAGGGTTTTCACAGCTTTTTAAGATTCAAATTCAAGCACTTTTCTAGGTACCTAAACCAAACATTTCCAGCCTTGAAGTCTTTATCATCACATCTAAATTACTAAATCCAATTGTGAAAAATGCGTAGTTTACAGCATTCCTTTACACCCACAGCAATCAAGGTATATTGTTACTTTGTTTATTTTATGAGCCGTTCTTATTAACATTGTATGTTTTGATCATTAGTATTTAATGCTTGCTAATTTACAGAGGGATTAACAGAGGATTTATCTACCCATGAACGGTGAGGGAACAAGCCAGGCAAACAAATATGATGAGGGGATCGTTTCATTTCAATTAAAACATTTTTGGTTTAGAGGAGATTTTATGAATTTAAGCATATTCCCAACAAGGTTTGAAATATTTTCTGTCAGTGTCCCAGAATTGTCCTGAATTGCACTTTCGGCTGTCCCAGACTTAACAATTGTCCCAAATTGAAGTTCCTTTTTTCCATTCTACATATAAATATAATTGAATAACTTTGCTTCAGTATCTCCCATTATTTCATGACTAACTCTGGTCTGCCATGGAAGTTCTGCTAGTTGTTCCTTTCACTTTTATCTGAAAAAAACCTTTTTCCTGGGGGTTTGGCCATAATCTGTTTCCATTAGTCTTCTAGTCATTGGTTGAGTTGCTGTCACTTGGTTAACTGATCAATAAATGCATCACTGCAAACTGCAGTACAAATGCAAACCTGTTTCTGATTGTTATACGGAAATATAACGTTACATACACAAACTCACTATAGGGAAATGGTATATTTAAAGTAAAAAAAAAAAAAAATCTACAAAGTGAGGGAGGAGAAACTATGTAAATATTTACAAGCTCAAAGCTCCAAAGATCCAGAGAGAAAGAGTGAGAGGGCGCAAACGTTCCCCATACGCCACACCGACTGACTGCACAAGAGGAGAGAGAGACCCCGCTGCTGTTGGCAGTACACTGCAGCAGAGAGCAGCACACATGGGAATGAATTACAATATAGTTTAAATATATTTCACCCCTTTTCCATCATAGTCTGAATAAGTCGCAAAATTTGCCGCTCGTTGCTTTTCATAAAAAGTCACAAAGAGGGTCAGAGAAGTTGCTACACCTAGCGATAGAGCATTTTCTGGCCTCTCTCTTTGACTCTAACGGTTAAAATTAAGCATTTTCCAAACTTTCAAGACTTTAAGACTGATCAAACCCTGCACGTTGAATCGTAAATACTAAGCATAAGCAGTTTCTCTGTTTATCAATATTGTGACTGAGTTCAAGCTGGCTGCGACGTACGGACAGAATGTTACATTGTTGTCAGGTAGTTTTTTGTTGTTTCTTGCTTCCTAGACAGAGGGAAATAATTCCACTTCCAGAGAATCATCAAACATCACTGCTAAGACACATCAATGAAAGGACAGAGTGCGGATTAATTTACACAGACTTTAATATCTTTATTTACAGATTAATCATTTTGACATATTTATCTGTTGGCGTAGTTAAGATGATGCAATATTTTTCAAACTCGTTTTTGAACTATTTCCATCCGGACTTGGTGACAAGTTGTGTTACAGCTGAACATGTTTTTTTTTTGTTTGTTTGTTTGTTTTGTGTTCTTTCAGTTTAAAAACAAGAATCCAAATGTATTCCTGCAGGAGGCCAAAACCAAATAAAAGTTTTAAAAAATGTGGGGGACAGGTGAAGTAAGCCATGTCAAGAACAGGTGTGGGGATTGGGCGCTGGGGTTTGCTGCTTTGGGCTCGTCAGACAGTTGAAGAGGGGCAAACGTGGCATGAGAATGAGTATGGCTACTGTGTGAACACCTCAGTGACACTTGATGAGCTGGTTTCCAGAACAGGGAATAAGACTCTTTCAAGTACGTGTGAATAACTCCTTATTTTCTATCTGATGCACTACATTTACTAAATTTTAAGTGAAAAACGTTCCCTAAAAATTCCCCAGTGATGGAACAAGATAATGATTCAAAAGATTCCAGAAATATCTATTTACTACTCATTTTAGAGTACGCCCAAAATACTGAGTGTTTATTGTATAAGGATGAGTGAACATAGTGATGTTGGACACAGCACAAGAACATTTTATAAGAGATATCAATTTAAAAATGTGGTATATCGAGGACTCAATCCCTGTTTAGAAAAGCAGCCCAACAGTGTGTACAAATCGTAACCATGTTCAAAAGAGCCTCCTACAACGGCTCGACTCTCTCCTACAAAAGGTTCTCACAAATGAAAGTAAATGCACTGCATAGGCAAGGATAAGCCACAGCCGCTTCTTGGACACAGCCAGGAAAGCTGGGAGACTGGCGGGCGTGGGCGGGGTCTTAAGTCTGGCATTTGCTTCAAAAGAGTGGGGCGAGATGTGGTTGAACTTCTGATTGTAGCACGGAGTGGAATGTTGAATGGACTTAAAGAAACCAGAGATAAGAGCTCACAGAGCGAACTGGAGTGTGGTACAGCAGAGGTGATGAGCGCGGAGGACAAGATGCCACACAGAGGGGGATAAAGGAGGGAGAGGGGTGGAGAAGAAGGGAAGCGTGGAGGCGAGGAGTCCACTGTGAAACAACAGGGGGAAGGACGCCTTGAGACAGCAGGAATTTGGAGGAGAGAGGGTGTGACTGTGTGAGGAGGAGGAGAGATAGGGATCAAGAGGAAGATGAAGATGAAGAGGGTGTCAAGATTCAGTTACTGAGCAGTAGCTCTGTCGCTGTCTCCACGTCCCAGGATTTCGACGACAACGCCACTATTACTGCATTCTGGGAAGAGAAACAAAAACCATTCAGAGACCATTCAGTTCAACTTTGCAGCAGAATTCAGCAGTGCAATGCACAGTAGTGCGGGAGGAGAAGAGTCTTACTTTTTCAAAGCCCATGGCACAGAGTTTGTCTATTTTGCGTGTGTACTCCGGACTGGAGACGGGAGCGCCTGCATAGACGTGAGACCAGAGCCTCGCCGTCTGTTTGAACATCTCTGGGTTCTGCTTGTACTGTGTGATGAACAAATGTGGAAAAACAACAGCAGGCTTGTGTGAAAGGGGTTCAGCTTACCACTGTCAACAACTAAAACATGGTGCTTTTCTACTTAGTTTAGATCCCCCAGCACATATGTGTCTTCAAGCAGAGCAGTAGAGCACTTAAGAACCATCTATAAAATATTTTTTAAATGTTGCTCCACAACAGACTGCCAATAAAATAATTCACAGCACATTGTAAAGCTGCTGAGACATTCAGAGCCAGAGGAACAAGTAGAGCTGCAATTGTTAATTCTGCCCAGTGTTCTGTTTCTACGCTGTGTTTGCATTCTTTAAACGTAATGTAGATTTCCAATCATCATAAACTGTTACTATTTAAACTGTAACGTAAATAAAAAGAAATAAATTACAGCTTTGTCTCAGCTTTTGGACTCAACAACTCACTTCAAAGTGTCAGAGTAACCACATAATGTTAATGCAGTGTTTTCAAGGCAGCTATAAAAGAATTTAAAAAAAAAAAAAGGTCCAACATCTTCCGACCCACCCTGAACCGCCTTCGGTTTCTTCACCATTTTGGGGCCTCTGACCAAATGCTTAACGTTCGATAATATAAACTAGGTTTATAAATATCACTGGACAGCTACAAAACAAAAACCATTTTGTACTGTACTAAATATTATCTAACCTTATTTCATTCCGTCAAGTATGTTTCATTGGGATGTGGGTTGGTAAGCGATAGATGACTTTTACTACACTAGGGATTGGTGATAGTAGGTAGGTGTTATAATGTGTTCAGTAGAGTAGGGCAAACAGCTTACTGCCTACATACATTTCTCAACAGTTTCCCTTTACTAGTATTGCACCGATTGCTTAACATGCAACAATTAACTGATGTGCAACACAGAAAAAGCATAACTCATCCACCTGTATAAGAGCATGTAGAGTAACAATCCACGGCAACACACAGGAGAACCTGACATAAACGTCGAAACAAAAACTTCATGACAATTAACATCAGAGTTGCATTAAAGAAACCTAACAGTAGAAATATTAGGCAATGGTTACTTAGGATTAACCTTAAGTGTCCAACTAGTTTTCATAGAAACCCATTCACAGGATTTTGATACATCCTGCTGACAGGGGCAAATGTGTGAGGGTGTCATACCGTCCATGTATAACTTATAGCAAACATGTGTTGAGGTAGAAAAAGCAAAGGACCTTCCTGCTCTACTCACCAGTCTTTCACAGCAGCCTGGGGCAACAACTATGGAATACATTCCCATTGTCTGTTAATCTTTTTTCCTCAATAAATCATAAAAACCCACATCACAATATCATTGAACCCCAGGTGACTTAAACGTCTTATTTTGTGCGACCAACAGTTGAAAACCCAATGATATTCCATTTACTATAATGTGAGACCAAGAAAGGGAAGCAGGCAACATCTCACATTTGAGAACTCGGAACTTACAAATTTGGGGAACTTTTGCCTGTAAAATGCCTTAAAAAATGAGTTGATTATCAGAAGAGTTGCAGATTCATTTTCTGTCGATCGACTAATCGATTAATTGAACCAGCTCTATAGCAGTCTATGAACAAGCTCCATCCACTAGCTGGAAGTAGTAAATAGTTGGCCTTGGCAGGTGCAACAGTAGCATTACATTATACTGACACCAAGTAACACAATATTTTTGACCAATTCTTCCAGTGAGGTGACAGTATTTTGGGTGGGAGTAACAATCATTAGCAGTGTGGACATGTCTCTCAGTCAAACACAGATGTGCCCAACCGTACCAGGGTTACACTAACAGCACATCACTCTGAACGCTAAGGTTACGAGAGTTATTAAACTGTCGTAATAAGTTGGGAACTCCTGGTGTAATCAGTTCAGAAAATTGTATCATATAACTGTAACTGAAGCCGTTACAACCAGGAAGCATTCGAGCTGTATCGCAATCGCAACCGAATTCCTTGAAGAGATCTAGTGTCAGATGGCGGTAAAACAGTTATCCATATCCATATGTTGCTCTGCTTGAAAAACTAGACACAAATCAAAACCATAAAGCAGACATGCACACCCACCTGATTGGCTACCACTGCGTCCTGTGGATCATCTGGTTCTGCGGCTGCCAGTAAGGCTTGTAGTGACAGGAGGACCGTCCTCAGTGTCATAGCTGCTGCCCTGAAAGAACACACAGGTGACCGTTCAGTGCGACGCCAAAATGATGTCAACTTTACTCCGACAGCGTTACCTCAAAGGTTTCTACTATTGCATGGGAGCAGTGGAGGTATATTTTTAACACTCAACACGACATTGGACCAATTAAATACCTTCAAAGTAAGTATGCCTGCACACTTATTATTGTATCTAAAAACTGGGATTAATGATAACAACTACTTTCCACATCACTCACCTATTTAACTTTATTGTGCCTATGTTTTATATTGTATTGTTATAAGAAGGTTACAGTTTGTATCAATGCGTTTTGGGGGTATGTGCACAGCTTTAAAGTTGGCCTTAGAACAGCAACTTAGTAATGGCTCTGGCTGTGGTAGGGAAAACACTTTGACTACTAGGAAAAGTATTTCATGACGGATGTATGATGGATGAAGAATGTCAGGAATGCTGGCGCACATTCACTCACCACTGGTCTTTGAGAATGTCCAGACATATTGCACCTGTGACTGAGCTGATGTTGGGATGCCAGATCTTTGTGATGAACCGCACCTGAGAGATTCATTGAAAACAGGACGAAAGAAAATCATTTGCGGATTTGCGCGGTAGTGGGAAATTTCTTTAGGCAACATCCGGAAAGAACAACAGTTACGAATCCCTACCTTGGGTGGATTGAATGGATACGTCTCTGGAATTTTAATTTCTAGTTGATATCTACCCCCTGGAAGAAAAGAAAGGTATTATAATTATTTAAGACAAGCATGCGATACAAAAAAAAAAAGAAAAGAGTGGTTGTTAAGATGCAACATGTTTAATCTACATTATTAAAGGGGTTAAATAGTTAGCAGGTGATGCCTTCAGTTATTGTCAGTGACTCCTGCGATCACATAACACAACTGTGCAACCATGCAGACAAGTTAGTGTCTCTAAATGAGCCCCTCACCTTCATACGGTGTGTCAGGTGGGCCTGCTATCTCCCCCTTAAGTTCTGTGAAGTTCTCATCCACCAGATCCACCTTTATCTGGTTTTTGCTCGTCTGAAAAGGGCAAAAAAAAAGAAGAAGCATTTTAACTTCAGCAGGCTGCAAAGTGTTAATCAAGCTTGCTGTCAAACTCAAACATGCCAATGCAGCATAAGTTGACACCCCCCCACCTCCCCTTACTCCCCCTCTCCTCCTCCCCACACCGCAGCATTAGTTGACCCCAACTTGTTGCACACATTACACAGATCCACACACAAATAGGTGCTTTAACGTGAAAAGAGGAGGAATGTGAGCAGAGCAGGGGGACGACAGTGAGTGCGACCCCTCCAGCACTACACGCGGATACACACCAACCCCTCTTTCTGCTAACACGGCTAGCACCGTCCCCGCAGCAGGGTTAGGGTAAACCAGCCAGTTCCGTTAGCAAACACGAACCCGAGGCTTCCCGGTGATGCTCCCTATAACCTGATAGAGGAAATAAAACAACAGCAGCGTCCTTGGCTTTAACTCCCCCCTACACACGGAGAGCAGCTAGCGTTAGCAGCTACTCGTGAAAGCCGGATGCAGCGCCGCGTCTGACACAGGGAGCTAGCAGCTAGCAGCTCGGTGACCAGGGAGCTGACAGCTGACAGCGACATTCAAACCCTCCGAGTCACAGAGAAAGGGTGGAAAACAAACAAACAAACGATAAAAGGGTGGGTGGGTGTAAGGGGGTGCGGGGAGGACAGTTACATTAGCCAGCAAAACGTGGACCACCAACCTCTTCGCTTTTGAGCACCTCCTTGAATTCCCGTTTTATCCTCTGTACTGCGATGTTGGCCATGGTTTCCCCGGTGTTTCCCGTCCGGTTGGGGCCTCGCCGCCGTCCGACCTGACTATCGTTAGCTAAGCTCGCTCTGTCTCTACAGTAGCTCTCTCTCTCTCTCTCTGCACACTTTTTTTTTGTGTGTGTGTGTGTGTGTGTGGATACAACCTCAAAAATGAACAGCTGCAACGTTGTTCACCGTCTGTGCCTGGTTGCCAGTGCGGTTGGTTTGAATCGCCCCCTCCACAAAAAAAAACCAAAAACCCTCAGCTCAACGTGTGTCTATCATCTCAAATGTGTAACAACACAATGGTTGGTGGTACTGGAAACATTTTAATACCAAACTGCATGCAGTCTGGAGGAGAGGAGGTCACGTGATCTGTATTGCCATCCCGAGCGCCTTCTCCCATTGGCTGCTCGGTTCGTGATGAATAATTTATTTTCAATT